TAATTAAGATATTTTTGAGGCAATTTTTGCTTTTATTCTGGACAGTGAAGAGAGACAGGAAATGGGAGGATGACTTGCTGCACATGTGAAGGGTCAGACTTGAACCCTTTTTACTTTTTTTTATGTCCAGCAGGGGGCAGATCCTCTAGTTGCACTAAAAAGTCCAAGTTGAACCTGATGAATAATGCTCTTACTTCTCATTGGATTTTGTGCCTTATAAAGGTACATAGTGAACATTTTCACAACGACGTCCTCGTCCTGATTTCTAGTTTTAAAGGAGCAATATGTAACTCTGACCCCTAACATTTAAAATGGGTACTGCAGTCAAATTCAAAACATTGGAGAGAGCTGAAGCTTCAGTGTTTAGCCAGCTCTGCACCAGTCTTGACACCTTTAGTTTTAAGTTTTAATGGCAATAAACTGGGGTATAGATCGAGGTTAAGCTATGTTGCTACGAACGATAGCTTCCAGGGCAACTTGAAAAATACATTTAACACAAAATACATTTTAGTTTGAGACATGTTTGTTGATAGCTAACCAAAACTATTAACCCAATCTATACCATAGTTGGAATATTTGATGAATAAACCTTGCAAACAAAGCAGAAAAAAGTGGAATGTGATTACTCTGTGTTTGCTAACCCCTTGGTCCCCTTAGTGGCCAAATATGGTCACTTCTGACTCTGCCTGCAAAGACCCCTGACCTCCGTTTCATCGAGCGCCTTCGGGTTAAACTAGAACATTAACTTAAGGCCTGACCACCAAACACCTGGTGTAATGTTCAGGTTTCCACAGACTATTTACCATAACAAAGACATATATATGACAAAACTATCTCGCACATATATAACAGATACTGTGACAGGACAAACAAATATGCAGTACATCTCTGTTCAGCTGTTTTGCATACGTTTAAAAAGAAAAGACGCAGTGATGGAGATGTTGATGCTGTTTAATTGTCATTCCCCGGGGTTAGGGCAACCTGTCATTCATCATCAGCTGGCAGGATGTTTCTCAGGGTCTTTCTTCCTCATAGTGAAAGTGAAATCTAAATGTGAAGCGAAATAAATCCTGTATCTTGTCTATACTGTATGATCGAGCATCAGGACGTAGAGAAGTGTGAAATTTGTGTTAAATTATTTTCTTGTTCTCAAAAGAAGAACAAGAAAAGTTGTCTGTAAATCTTTCAGTTTATGTAGCATGTCCTCTTTGTTGGATTAAAAGGCAGGCTATTGTGTTTGTGTGTTAAATTGTGCTGAGAACTGCAGAAAAAATTATGAGACCAGACTGCCCCCCCCCCCCCTCCCCTGATAGAAATACACAGCGTGATAGGGCAGCTTTCATGTCATTCTGATTTAATTATGAATGAAGCTTAATGAAAACAAGGATACTACATATCAAATAAAAGTCGAACAGTTTAGTGCATTTATTTTGCAGAAAACATTGCACACTACAGCGATGTCTCATACCAGTGAGTCCAAGGCCCACAGTTTTAAGATATCCCAAAACAAAAAAAAACAGCTCATCCACAATCTTCAATCAATGGATGCCACCCACTCTATCTGAGCCCACAGAGGTCCAAAGAGCACGACTACTCACAGTAAAAACTTCACCACTCTGAACGATGACTCAACCATTGACGTCCTAGAGCCTCTCAGTCTGGGTGAACCATCGGTGCTTTCAGGGGAGACAGCAAAACAAGACGACACTTCCTCCTGTCTGTAACCGGTTTGTGTTTCAGTTCGTTTCTCTCTGACGTCCTGCTGCAACAGTCAAAGCTGGGTCAGAAACACGGGAGAAGAGACACCGCGGTTTGACAAATAAATCCCCTCTTGCTCCTAAAGACTCTAAATAATAATGACCTACTGTCTCTGAGTGAACATCCTCACAGAGATGCAGCCTGACGTGGTGCCAGCAGCTCCACAAAACAAGCCCTGCAGGCTGAAAGAAAAAGTGGCTTATTTATAGCAGCTGTGGAAGAAAGTTGGTTGAATACAAACATACGAGCAGGCTGCCATTTGTCATCCTCTTACAATCTCACAGAATTATTTCACTGTGCTGAAGACAACACTATACTGTTGTCACGTCATTTTCTTGTTGTCTTATGAAAAAACGTTTATTTATTTATGGATGAAAGTAACCCAGAAGGACAAATATGTAGCCTAGGGTAGGGAGTGAAATATTCTTCTTTCAACTGTGTATAAAAACTCTAACCCAGTACAGTACTACATATACTTTAGTAGCTAATTTCATTTTCTTCCGTTTTGCACTTTCACTCTAATACATTGTTTGGAAACTATAAACAAATAAATCCAGAAAAAAATTAAACAAATAAAAATCATTTCAGGAGGAGATAAAACTAGCTTCGTCATATTCATATATCGGGCTAAATGGAAGCTGTGAGGTCAGCTGGTTGCCATGGCATCAGAATGTCAGACTGAAACAGGAACATTCAAATGTAAAAAATCTGATAGGCTGTATCCACCACATACTTCTAAGAATGGCGTTATATTGAGTATGTAGTGCGTTCTGAATTCATGTTGTACGCTAGTTTGTGTATGTGAGAAGGTCCCAAAAGTTCTAATATTGCAGTCATTTTAAGTATGCTATGATACAGCACCCCACAATGCACTTCAGACTATCCACCAATAAATGGTGTACCAAAAAAAAGGACCTGTAATATATTTTACATGTACTCAAATAATTACACAGATTTAAAAGTAATGAACATGCAAATAAATTCTATATTCAACTGTCTCTTTCACTCACTCAGTTTATCTCATAACTAATGGCACACTAAAGATAAAGATAAACTTTATTGATCCCCCGTGGGGGAAGTTTGTGCATTACAGCAGCTCCAGAAAACAGGGGACGGGAAAATACTTATAAAAAATAAAAATAGAAGTTAAAAACAGATCAAACATATTTACATCATTTAAATTTTAAAAAATACAATAATGTAAAAAAATACAATAATGTAAAAAAAATACAATAATGTAAAAAATACAATAATGTAAAACAAATACAATAATGTAAAAAAATACAATAATGTAAAAAAAAATACAATAATGTAAAAAATTACAATAATGTAAAAAAAAATACAATAATGTAAAAAAAAATACAATAATGTAAAAAAATACAATAATGTAAAAAAAATACAATAATGTAAAAAATACAATAATGTAAAACAAATACAATAATGTAAAAAAATACAATAATGTAAAAAAAAATACAATAATGTAAAAAATTACAATAATGTAAAAAAAAATACAATAATGTAAAATTACATAGTAACTTGTTCTTAAAAAAAAACACACACACAGTGTGTAGCATGAGGTGGTGATGTTGTTAAAGAGTCCGATTAAACAGTCTGACGGCAGATGGGATGAACGACCTGCGGTAGCGCTCTGTCTTGCAGGGTGGGTGTCTGAGTCTGCTGCTGAAGAAGCTGCTCAGGGCCCCCACAGTGTCACGCAGGGGGTGAGAGCTGTTACCTTACATACTGGAACTTTACTGTCACTAGACCTCTTTATCTAAACATCTTTCAAAGTAGAAATTCAATTTAAAAACAGTAGGCCTATATTAATATTGGCTTTTGTAGTTTTGTGGGATTTTATATTTTCAATATATTTATTTTATCTAACAAATTTAAAACAATAGTCCATCGATATTCTGTAGACCTACATTTTATTTTTTTGAGTTGGTGGGATCAGAAAGTGTCTTTGACTTTTTGCCCTCTAGCCCCCCCTTGTGGTCTCTCTGACTCTATGCGTTGCGGTTTCCAAGTAGTGAACAAATGCAGAGAAGCAGGTGTGATCACACCGGCAGTGAAAGACAGGTGCACACCGGATACATCGATGTGTTATCTTCAAAATAAAATACACGCACACACACGGCCTATATATTCTTAAATACAAACCTGCGGTTGTCTCTAAAGAGCCTGGTTTAACTAGGCTATACTTACTTTAAAATCATTAATAGGCTAATTAGCTATAATGATAAAGCTAATTTGAAAATGAAAAAGCAAATGTCATTTTCTTCTTCGTTTTAATTTAGTCAAAGAATGTGCATTTTTGAAGTTGAAAACTAAAATGAAAATTAGATAAATTTGTTATTTTTGTGTCAAATAATACACCCATATTCTGAAAATTTAAAAAAAAAGCATTTCTGTTAATGCATTTTCATTTTCAAATGAGCTTTATCATTTGAATTCTGATCACTAGTCGCTCCCATACATTTTTAGTTTTTAGTTGAATTGGTGAGTTTGTTTTGGTAGAGAATGACTTAAGGTACAGACAGTAAGCTAAATAAATACATAGCCTATCATAACGCTTATTATAGGACTAACTGTTTAGCTTGTCATCAGAAAGTCCCTCTTGGGGCACCGAGCAGATCCGATGAACAAAGGTGAACAAATCTGAACTCTGACCTGTCTGCAGTGTGAACGCAACCGGATAACTAAAGTAGGCCTGTGGCCCAAGCTCCACTTTAAAGCCTGAGAACTTAACACCCGAGGCTTGATCTGACGTCACTGTGTTTTGTAGTTCGTGTGGGTAGCCTACATAATTCACATATTCTGATAATAAACAGCATTATTATCAGAATATTATGCACAAACAAAAAAAGGGGCATTTGTTTTCCCCCAGCTGTGATTAAATTGTATTTATTTAAGATGCATTATTAAAACAAATAATAAGACCTGGTGGCCACAATATTATTTTGATTGTAATTTATTCCTCTTTATTCCAGTCAAAAATCATGTTCATATAATTCAATTGGTCAAAGGTTGGCTGCTGATTTTCATGCACCATAATACGGTTTTTATATAACTATTGGCCTTTTCATGAATTATTTGTGTTCAGCATTTAAAAATAATAGTAATAAAAATAAAACGTTTAGAATCTTTTCACCAAGGCTGCTTTTATTTCAAAAATTAAAACCGGAAATCTACCCTGAACGCAGCGGTGGTTTCGTCAGCAGTGAGGTGTCAGTGGCTGCGTCTCTGTCTGTCTGTCTGTCCGTCTGCCTGTCTGTCTGTCTGTCCGGTGATGCGCGCTCACCGGTGCCGGCTGCAGGCGTGCCCAACAGCAGCGTACAGGACGCGGTACCGACCCCGTTTATCACCGCTCCACAAACTTTGTACCCGTCATGTTTTGACAGTGTGAGAGAGTAAAGGATGCTCACAGACATGATTGTGGACGAAGAATTTGAGATCAAGGAGGAGGAACCGTGGTACGACAAGCAAGACCTTGAACATGGTACAGTTTCCTCTCCGTCTTTGTCTCTTAAGCCTGAAAGATGACGAACCGTGAACCTCCTTTCTTTAACAATCTAACAGGAACACTACAGCTGTTACATGGGAATCTTTGCACAATTTGTACATGTAGGCTGCCTCGGTTAAGACCTATTATTTAGCCCTATACTCATTACATATCAGGATTTTAATTGTGATTGCTACACCGAGGTCATCTTGTTTTGAAATAAGATTAAAAATGTGTCGTGGAAATCTAGCAGGTTGACTTCACATAAGGCAGGGTCAGCAGGACACTCTCATATGCTGCAATGTGAAAAAAACAGAAGAGGTGTGTGTGTGTGTGTGTGTGTGTGTGTGTGTGTGTAAGGAGAAGTGACTTTGACTTTAATTAACCATTTCATCTGAATTGCACACCTTATACTAAAACTCGTTTTTGTTTCGGTGTAATATCCTAACCCTGTTTTTACACCATAATCATGTCAGTGTTAAAAATGTGTTGTGTTTTTAAAATATAACATGATGGCTGAAAGGAAGGTCAAGTGATAAGAGAGTATTTATACTCAGCACTAGTTGAGTTCATAGTTGTAAAAATGGTAACTTCTGCGTGTAAGAAGATTTGTACTATCAGTGTGTGGAGGTGGTTTGATCCTGTGGCACAGTTTTTAAATAGCAGGTTGCTGGATTCCTGCCGACATCAGGAACAGAACCGCACAAAGCTGCTTGTGAGCTTTGTGTCCATCAGTGACACCCCACGACACACTATGAGCCCTGAGGAGCGTTCACGGTTCCTCTCTCCGTCCCTCCTGCAGACCTGCAGCTGGCAGCCGAGCTCGGGAAGACCCTCCTGGACAGAAACAGGGAGCTGGAGCAGGGGCTGCAGCAGATGTACTCCACCAACCAGGAGCAACTGCAGGAGATCGAGGTGAAGGGGATGAAAGGGTGGTCTTGTCATGTCTGAATTTCTATCTCTGTCCAAAAATCACCAGAAACAAAACACCTGGTGGGCTAGAATGTGCCGGGGGGGGGGGGACGATTAGTCTGGACAACTATCATGCAGGTTTTCTTCTTTAAGGATAAAGCTTCAACATCACATGTTTATACTGCGTTAAAAAGCCTCATATTAGCCCTAAAGAAAACTACAACATGCAAACATGGCGAGGATGAGGGGGGCAGATTCTACAAAAAAAAAAAAACATTATTATCATCCCAACTTTTTTACTGCTAGTTTGTGTCATTCAGTAAAAGACAACTAAAAGGTCAAACAGGCATTCAAGTGCGTGTCAGGCTTTTTAGCCCCTGAATTTCGCCTCACAGGCAACACACAAGCTCCAGTACCTACCTGGGCTTCCTGCTAGTAGATCTTTACAGGTTCTATGTTTGTAGCAAAGAAGGACAGAAACTAACCTCTCACTGTGCAAACCTGTGGTGTATAATGAGAGAGGGATTACCTTGCTTGGTGTAGTTTTTTTTTGGGTTGTTTTTCAGCTTGTGCGGTGATCTCATAGTTTTGAATTCATGTCATGTTTTGCTTCTTTTTTTTTTTATTTTAAAATTAATTTCATTTGATTTAGGGATTGTAATTGTTTACATTTCAACCCCTTAAAAATAGAGACTAAGCTAAACCTGCAGACACTGATCAGGGCTTAAAAACTCACACTACTACATGTTATGGTTTTAGTGCTCCTGAAAAAGATGTCAACATTCATCATAAAATTAATTTGTATCCAGTGTTTGTGTTTAAAAAATAGAGAGAACTATTTGAGCAGTTTTAAGATTCTGAAAAGTTAGGATATTTTGTCAAACATCTTATGACCATTTCATTTGGTGTTTGTTGCTACATTTGTATTTCTTGTATATAGTATGCATATTTGTGACTATGTTGTTAGCTTCTGAAACCACCCCTCCCTTCCTGTTGCTATATTATGTTCCTCTGTCTGCGTCTCTGCAGGGTTTTCAGTCGACCTTTGACCAAGTCGTTAGTTCAAGGTCTTATTTCAAACTTTAATTACAGAAATTCAATATGAAGCTTCGGGTTTTCCTCGTTTAATTTCCTTGAGTGAGTCTGCCGCTAAATCCTCACCTTCCCTCCAACGCTGACACGCTGAATTAATCTCTTAAGGCCGCCTTTTGAATGGTGTAACGTCACAGGTCTGAGTCCGGCTCCTGACCTGTGTGGCAATCAATTAGCCGCTTTACTGTCGCTCTTTGGCGGAACAAAAAGCCTCTAACGGAGCAGGAATATCACTCTTAAAATAGAACTACCCTTCTTACTGCTTGAATAAAATGTTCTTCATCGACTCCTGATGGATTTGGCCAGTGTTCATGTGCAGTCTAATTTTGAATTTAATAACACAGTCTAACACTTATATTGAAGTGTGAACAGAGAAGTGAAGCTGATGTTCAAGTGTTTCTCTGTCAGCAGAGGCTGTGCAGGTAGATTAGATGATTAAAGGTTCAAAGTGTCCTCATGGCTGCAGCGGCTGATAAGATAACCTGTTCTCACAGAAAGTGTTTCTCTAAGAGGCTTTTTAAAGACCTTTAGGAGCTGTTAGTCAAATAAACAAACACTAGAGTTCCTCTTCACATTTATTTTTCAGCTTCTTGGCCGTTTGTCTGCAGAATAAACCCAGCAGTTCAATGATGATAATGATGGGGGAAGGGGGTTTGGTCTGCCACTGATCCCTGTTTTAATCATCAGAAACTCCAGACTCTGCTGGTAGTTTGATCTTCTGATTACTGATGTGTTCAAATTGTCCACGTAGTTCAAAGATCGTCATGAAACTGTTACTGTAAGCTGTACAGATAAATCACAGAACGAGATGGAAGACGTCCCGTTCACTGATGTGATGTTAAACATCTTTCCAGTCACAGTCCATCATGACGTTTCCTTACAAAGGAAAAGAACATCTTTAAAATAAAGTGCTGTCTTCCTTAAAACATCCTTTTTGTTGG